TACAAGTCTAGAGTATCTCTAACTTAGCTGGCAAAAACTGAGCCGACGAAAAAACAGAAACTGTCCAGGACTGAATTAAAATTAACCCGAGGTTTGGGTGAGTTTTAAAACATTTTTACCGCAATTTTGAAAGAAGTGTGTTTTTGCAAACAAGGTAATTAAGGCTTTTTCTTTTGACTGCTGAACACAAAGGGTGTAAAATTATGTTTTAGGTTATTGTGGGTAATTTAATTGTGAGACTTTTCATTTTTGTACAATTTGAGTGTGTATTTCCAATTATCAGTGAAAGGAGTCATGAAAACCAGAATGATTTGATATTAAGAAGAGCAAAAGACATTTTCAAAGGTGAAGCTCTGTTAAAAAGGCGATTATTAGCTAATAGCTTGAGGAACAACTTGTACAATTTTCTTTTTTACAGAAAGTCTCGTATCGCGTATCTGGCTTTGTTATGGTGATTCCTACGTTGCATACTGGATTTTTCTGCATGGCCTATTGTTCAGGGCAGGGATTTCTTCATATTCAAGTTTTAATATCTGTGAAATCATTCATCTGATTTTGACTTTTTTAAAGAATATTATGTACCTTTTGTATAAGAAGCTGTATATAAAGTATAAGTCCCCTACTTATAAAAAAGCTACAAGCCTCCAAATCTGTTTTCAGAGACTGTAAATCTAATATTTCAGAAACATCAAGCATCCATCATTCTATGTTACCTTGAGCTATACTCCTGACAGTCTATATTCAAAGAGTGATAGTACAGATATGTACCCTAAAAAAATTGAAGCACCTAGCTCAAGTAGTTTTCTCGATACAGCTACAAAAAAATCCCATCTAAAAACAACCCTGCCATGATTTCATTAAATGGTTTCCTTGAGTAAACTAATGACAGCAGCCACCTGAATTTTAACATAATTATTATTAGAAGTCTGCCTTTCCCCTGGAAAATACTCAGGCAAATCCAAAATGACCAGATGGGAGGCATTTGATGAATGAATGAAATACATGGACATGTAATTCATGATTTTTTTTATTTTTTTTTAAAAAAAGGCTTCTTTAATTCTTAATGCAACACAACTGAACAGCAACATAAACTGCACTTTTCAAAATTGCACAAATGATTTGCTTCACTGTGTTTTGACATTAATATGATTGACTCTTGATTGTTGTAATGCTCATCGGGTGTTATCAGTGTGACACACAGGAGCGCTGATTTCATCAACTTTCACTGTGCAAATAAGTGTCTCTCTCCTTCTCTCTCTCGTCTCTCTCTCTCTCTTTTTCATATCTAAATGATACATTTGTGCATTCCTTACTTTTAAAACATCTTATTTAGTAAATGCAAAAGTAGTGACCCCATTGTCTTGGTGCATGCTCAGTCATCCAGGTAAGTAAATCCCAAAAGGTTGATTCTGTTCATCTGGGCGTAGCGTTTTCAGTGGGAGAAACGTTTCGTCACGTATCCAAGTGACTTCTTCAGTCTCAGCTGACTGCAGGTTTCCCCAATCTTATACACAGTACATATGCACAAAAACTGAAACTAGCCCACTGAATGAACAATGGGCTGGGAGGTCAGTTACTTGACCATTAATATGCAAATTGTCATGGCCATTGGTCACCAACCATTGATCAAAGATCATTGATCAATGGCCATAAGTACCATTCATAGATAGTTGGGGAATGTCTGCAATCACAGCATTGTAAGATGTAAGTGACCCTATTGTGTACAGCTGCAGAGCCTTACATGGGAAAGAACCTCGGTTTGAGATCAGGAGGTGATGCAGTCCTTGCCTCAGGGTTGTCACAAGCTACTGTACTCATTTTTTTGGCCCCAAGGATG